CCGCCCCTCCCCCGCCGCGCGCGCCGCCGCCTCGTGACGCGGCCGGGGCGCGGCCGCCATGACAGGCGGGGTAGGGCCGGCCCGAGAAGATGGCGGCCGCTGAGGGGAGCGGGAGGGACACGGCGGCCCTGGCCGTGAAGCAAAACGGGTTGCGGGAGGCTGCGCTGTTGCTGTCAACCCGAGCGCGGTTGCACCTTCCTAGCACAGCAGGCACCCTGCGCCCCCTGCTTTTCCCGCTCTCTGCACATTAAAGCTCACCTCAGTTCCTCAGGGAGGTGCCAGCCCTGCACTTCGTGCTCTTAAATGTCTCCCGAAAGAACCTGTGAAGGGAGAAAAGGTGTGTGGCGGTCGGGCCAACCAGCAGCTCCTTCATTAGGGGCTGTTTTCTCCCTCCTTCATTAGGGGCTGTTTTCTCCCTCCTTCATTAGGGGCTGTTTTCTTCCTCCTTCATTAGGGGCTGTTTTCTCCCTCCTTCATTAGGGGCTGTTTTCTTCCTCCTTCATTAGGGGCTGTTTTCTTCCTCCTTCATTAGGGGCTGGTTTCTCCCTCCTTCATTAGGGGCTGGTTTCCAGCCGGCTTCATGGGATGCAGTATCCCTGTTGGGTTCAATGATCTTGAAGGTGTTTTTCCAACCAAAATGTTTCTCTGATCCTAGCAGAGGACTTGTAGCTGCTCCTTTGGAATTCCTCTTTGTGCAAGTAATGCATTGTTTCAGTTAGGAAGAGAAAGTGAGTTCATACAGGTTGGCTTTGGTGCTTGCAAGGGCAGGAGCTGAGATCAGGCTCTAGCCGCTCATTAGTAACATTGTTCTTGCCCTTCTGGCCTAGTGATTATTTTTTGCTCGCAAAATGGAGCAGTTCAGTGGGAGAAGGGATGTAGCAGAGAGAAGTACGCCATCTGAAATACCCTGAAATAAGTAAGCTTGCTGGTTAACGCACACCCCTGGAAGCAGGAGTTCACATCCTCTTGGAGAATTTGGACTGGCTGCATTTTCAAGTCCAGAATAAGTAATTCAACCACTGGCCTTTTAGACAAGAAGGTGGCCAAATCGCTTCACCACTGACGTGTCTTTGTGCAGGACACAGCTTGATCCTTCAAGGGATGAAACTGGGCCAAGCTGATCACCCAGCCCAATGGTTGGGTGAATCCTTAGGAACAGACTCTGACAGACTTCCCCAGCTGTGCTAAGGCTGAGTAGTTTTTGAACATTCCCAGGTGCAGCCCTTGAGCTCGTCACAGTGTTCAATGGACTTCAAGGATGTCAGATTTTATTTAGCAAAGTGGAAATTAAGTGGGGCTGCCACTTGAGTTCGTTCCTAGGTGCATATTACCCCTGATATCCAGAGATTAGGGCAAGGTTCTTTATTATAACGTGAAGAGGAAAGACAGTTTGTCAGAAGAGCTGTAGCATTAAAGCATGAAGGCCAGAAAGCCATTACATAATCAGAAGCCGCAGTAATAGGAGATGGAGTGACAGTCCATGGTGGATGACAAGGAGGTTGTGGGGATCAAGGGTAAAGGAACGTGCAGTTACACGAGATAGTCGCATAGTCAGCAGCCACATCAGCCAGCTTTTCATAATTCCCATTTCATAACGCCTAATATGCAGCTTTGATCTCTCATTTGCAGTAATTCAGCCTGAGGATCGTGGGTGTGTATTAAGGGTAAAAGCAGACAGTATAAACGCTCTCTGCTTTCTGCAGGACTATTATCCGTGCAGTTCTCTTTGGCTCATTCTTGCCTGCCGTATAATTCCAGGTACTTCACCTACCCAAGTAGCTATTTCAATTATCACATCATGATTTTCCCCGATGGGGATTATTATTTTATTAACAGAGCTATTAAATTCCTAGCAGCATCCACTGTAAGATCTTTAGAAGACATCCATTTCATTTCTCAAAATCCCTGATAATTATAATCTTCTCAGTCAATTGTTTAATATACCCCAAAACAGCTTGTTAATTTTAACTAATTCACTCATTTCCCATGTGCCCACAGCAAGGGAGGAGAATTCATATAAAAATGCTAGCGAGAACTAGTAGCCCAAACCTCTTTCAGTATGGATTGTGTGGTCAAACACGTTGAAACTACAAGAAATTTTCATTACACATTATTCCTGTTCTTGACATGTCTTGGACATATTTGGCACAGAAATACAAGAAAAATGACACCTACAACTGACATTGTTGGATTGACTCTTCCTGTCACTTCATGAACAGGGAGAGGAACATCCTCAAAGAGAATTAATATATTTTACTGTTTCAAAGGCTAAATTTTTAGAACAAGTTTCTCTAGTTAACATGTAGAGCAGTTGACTGGGAGTAGTAAAAAAGACCGGAGAAAACTTTATTCTTTGCATACCTGGGAGAAACTGAATTCATTAGAGCAATTTCCTCCTCTAATAGTTTGCCCAAGGGCAGTCTATGACTGAAAACAATCTGAAGATCCCCTAGTAGAAAGAATTTCTATACAATTAGTTTTGCAAGGGGTGAACAAACCTTTCTAGATGCTGGCCATCTCATTTGGAGTACCCAAGGAAACAGGGCATTTATGTAATTGCTCCCTAGACATTCCTTCCCACTCTTCCTTTGTGATAGATATGATTTATGGGGATTCTTTTGCATGTTTTCCAGAAGAGAGAAGGTCTGACAGCATAGAATATGTGTATGGCTTTATCTGATCTGCTGTCTCAAACATTTTTCAACTCTTGGGCCAATCTCAACAACTTTGACAGCTGTGGAGATCTCAAAGAGATTATATTCCTAGCAGCTTTGCAAAAATCGATGCTTAGATACCAGAGAGAGACTGTTACCACTGCTGAGGAAAAGCCTGTAGAACAAGTTCATCCCACATAATCTGAAGTTGGTCAGAAGCTCTCAGGAAGCCAACTGTGGAGCTGTTGTGGCTAGTTCAGTGAAAAGAACAGTAGGTGATGAGGTGAAAAGAATTTTTGCAATTTTAGGATAGGAATAAAAAACACAGCAGGGTTGCACAGTTTGAATGTTGCATGAAATTCTCCCTAAAATATCTAGAACAGAACAGAAAAGCAACAAGCTGATCAGAGGTATGGAATTTGCTTCCTCAGGAAAAGAAAAAGGTTAAATAAAGTACAACAGTTTAGCTTAGAAAAAAAGCTATGGAGGAATATGATCTTGGTATAAAAATCTGTCGTCATAGAGCAGCTGAATTCTCTGTGTCTTGTCGCAAAAGATTTAGGTGTCCTGAGCAAAGATTTCAGGCAGTAAATTTAAAGAAAGGGAAGAATGTTTTCCCTTGAGTTAAAATTTTACCTTGCTGCAATGTAAAGTGGGGGCCAAAAGTATAAATGCATTTGTAAGTGGATTAGAAATGGGAATGGAAAAAATGTCCATGAGGCGCATTGAACTTAACCTAATGGAACTGCCAGCTCCGGAAATCTCCAAATAAAGGGGTGGATTCAGCTAGCAGATTAAGTCACCTAAATTTAGGTTTCTGTGTGTAGGTGTCTCCATGTGAACCAGATGCCTGAGCTCCCATTGTACTGCATGGAGTTGCAGTGAGGGGGTTAGTTGCATAAATGTAGCATCTAGTGACATTCAGGTGTTGTGGATTTTCCTATCTGGCCTCTAGCTCCTGCTCCTAAAAGGTGCAGCTTTCCTAAAAATGTGTCAGATCTGTCACTCCCAAGTAGGAGTCTTTGATATCCCAGTCCATTATAATTATTGGTGGATCCGTTACTACCCATGGACTCCAGCAGCTGTGTTGGGCAGTTCTCCATCAACTGTAATAGGAACTTAGAAAACCAAATCACATGAAGGCAAATACAGGGACAAGTTCAATCTAGATATCAACTTCCCACCCCAAGCATCAGAAATATTGAGATTGTACCAAGTTGTACCATAGCTTTTATGCTTTTTCCTTAAGCTTCCTAGGCTAGTGAGACCACTGGCTTGATTCCATTGGGAGTAATTTAGGGGAAGAAGATAGGAGATGCTATAACTAAGCAACCCTGCTTTTGATAAAACTTCTTAGGATGCTTGGATATTATTGATAGCAAGGATACTGTGAAAATGTAGATATATGTTGCATTGTAGAAATCATGCATTTACATGTTATAACTCTTTGAATGCCCACAGGATTCCTGATGGATAGGAATTTGGAAACATTCACGGATACTACTCAGTGAGCCACCAGAGTGGACAAACTGCTAAGCTCACAGGTCATGTAACTGGGGATTTTTTTTTTACAAAGTTAAATCAAAACTTGATTTTGAAATGGCAAACTTTACACTCTTCTATGAATAAAACAAGTTTCATCTCGTTAAGAGTAGCGTGATAAAATGGACGGGATCTTCTCCTTTCTCCCATGCAGGAGCTATAGATAAGATCTACCAACCAGCTAAATCTATTAACATTAACCCACATTACTGAAGCAAGACAAAGGTGGTGGGATAGAATGACAGACACACAAATGTGCAGGAACATGGTGAAAAGCCAGATCCTGTGAATCACAGTCTGTTCTTGGGAAAATTCATAGGCCTACAGATCTTTACTTGTATTGTTTTAACAAGGAATTACAGAACTGAGCATGCTAAGCCGTGTTATTTTCCTGTACTTCTCACACCTCTCCTGATATTTTCTGTAGAATCTCTCCAGAACTGTGGAAAAGTTTTATTTTAGGTATGAAGTGTTGCTGACAAAATTCCATCTGGTTTGGTATTCAGAAATTCCCTCTCTTAAGATCTGGGAGATGCGAGATTTTCTGTCCTTTCTTCTTACTGAACTAAAACATTTCTTGGAATCTGTACCAGGAGGTAAATGACTAAACATTCTGTCCGGAGTTGCTCAACTGTGCTCAGATCACTTCACAGGCTTGGGGTCTGGGCCAGCCTGGACTCATTTCTGTTCCACTTTGGATTGTTTTGCAAACATTTGACAGCGAAAACAAAAAGCCCAGAAATCTCATCGCTGCGTTGACTTTTTTCCCACTTAATTTTTATAACTGTACCAGAAATTCCTTTCCATATTTATTCTCTGATAAAAAGAAAAAAATAACTTTATTTGCAAAGGAGATTGGATGTGAAGTTAAAGCCCAGAAGGATCAAGTTGTTTGTGCCAGATCATCTAACAGATCAGCCTCAGAGAGGAAAAACAGAAACAAACCCTTCAACACTTGTTCCTGTTATGATGAAAATGCCTGAAAACTGATTTTCGAAGGTAGGTCCACGAGAAAGGATGGACCCTGAGCTGCTGAAGCCTGAAAGCCAAAAACTTTAGAATTGTCACATAAATGGAGGTTAAATATAGTTCAAATTGAAATGAGGGCTTTTAATTCCCCATTTGGAACCCTTCTAAACTTCGTTTCCCCTCTAACTAGTCTGTCATTCTTGACAGCGGTTTGTGTAACCCCTCCTAAAAAAACCCTCAGAACTGGTCACTTTACGATCTTTACAATCATCTAGAAACTGCTCTGCTAGATAACTCTTACTCTTCAGAGGCCTGAGGTATATGAGAATCATGTCTCATCTTTGTATTATTTTTAAAGGAAAATATGTGAAATTCAGTGGTTATTGTGTTACCTATATTGTGTTATATGTGAAAAACTGGAATTATTTTCTTACAGCTGAGAAGACAAGAATCAGGAGACGTGACTCTCTCCCAGGCTTCCTCTGTAAGTCTGGGTTTATTGCCTTATAACTGTATTTTTCAGCTGCGTTATGTCCGTAAGATTCACGCCCCTGCTTTCTGTGCCTATTTGCGGTATTTCGATTAGAGGCACTGGGGGCCAAACAGAGTTTCTATTGGGGCAATTGTGTATCATTAATAAAAAGGGTACCTGACCCCTCCTAGGGTTTGTAGGTGCTAGGTCAGTATGAAACAAAATAGTAAATCCTCATCAGTCACATACTCTTTAATGTGTTACTAATTCTTTTTATTTTTCAGGAGAATGTGCTATGAGGTGCTATCAAAAGCAATGTTTAAATTTTAAGTTTTGTAACTGCCATAAGCTTGAGTTCACTGACAAAAATTAGAAGGTAAATGTTCTAATTGGTCTATACAGAATGCAAGAGTAGTGCAGTTAATTCTTGTAAATTTACTCATTATTTTATCGTGAACAAATTATATTTGATTACAAAGCTCACGATAATATGGGATCTATTGAAAAGCTCTCATGCAAATAGCATAAATTTTATGTTAATTATTGCAGCAAAGGATTATTAGGCAGTTAAATGAATGACTTGAAGAAGCCATTATTGCGCTGCCGTAAAATGTCAAATTCCGAAAGAATTTTTACAGCCTAAAGAAAATGGTTAAAATGAAAGAATACTGCTCAAACCTGTACTAGGCGGGCATGGCACTTGACAAGGAGACAGCGTGAAGTTCTGTGCACGTTGTGAGGTGCCCCCTGCTGTCACAAAGTCTCCTTCTCCACTGAGACGCAGGGCATGGTCAGAGCAGGAATGACACTGGAAAGTGGTCACGGAGGATAGGAAAGTGTTAGCTTAGTTAGAACCTACAGAGAGTTGAAGGGGGGGAGGAGAATTAGTGATAATGTCATTTATGATCTAGTTGTCATTTACAATAAGCCAAACTGGCTTGTGGCTTTCCAGCTGGATGGGTAGCATTTTTTGGTAGCAGGAGTTAGGGGATGCTGAGTGAAGGTCTAGAAGAGGTGGAGATAAAGGTGTGATGGGTGGGGAAGGAAGCGGCAGCGTTTTCAGGGAGGCTTGGAGAGGCTGTGGGACATAGCCTGTGTGGCTTGATGTTTCCAAGCAATCCAGAGCCACGAGGACAATCTGCTTCTCAAATACCAATGACCCCACTGCCAGGACACACTCGGTCAGGAGCCCTGCTTTCCAGCTAGACCTTTAGTGGTGGACTTGACCTTCAAAGTCAAGTGCAGGCATTTACATAGAAATGCACAAAACGCACTTGTTAGAGAAATGCTGATCTGTTGAATTGTAGTGTCTTGAAAAATTAAGAAGTAAAAATTAAGACATAAAATTAAGACATAAAAATTAAGAAGTAAAAATAAAATGTTTTCAAGATCTGCATGTAATTAGTAGTTGGCAAGAGGAGGATTTAGAAGAGTCGGGATTTTCTTGGAAGAGTCTTGTCAAGGAAGATGAAAGAAGGAAGCTCTAATAAGGATGACATAAAGTAGAAGTTAATCCGGTCTCTTCATTAGGATGGCTCATCACCAACTTTAAATGGCAGTTCTAGATGCTAGCAAGTGCTTCTGTAGAGTTGCATTTTTAAGGACTTTTATTCAAATAGGCTGAGTGGAATTAAAGCTATAAAGAGCAGAATCATAAGCAGGTGTTCTAAGTTTTTTGGGGGTATTCCCACACTATAATTTAGCAGTAACTGGATACTTAGTGTTTGCAACTCAGGTTCATATGGATGAGCAAAAGATGGTTGCTGGTTCATGCAAGCAAGAGAAAAGCACTGTGAGCTGTTTTGCTTTCTGAGTACAGAATCAGCCACTTTTGCTTGTCCTTACAACAGAAAGAAAAAATCAAAAAATAATAAGTGAAATCATTCAAGTGAATTCTTGAATGCAGCCATTCTTTTGATTTTATGGAGACTCCTCTTTTCTTCATACTTAGGCTGGTGATACTCAATATGAGTCCCAAATATGTCTTTTGGCATTGTACCAATTTGAGTTAAACCAGAATATATTCTCCTTTCTCTCACAGGCAAGCTCCTGCTTGCATTTGTGCTATATTATACGATACTATATTATGGAGCCGTGTTATCTGAGAGTTGCAAAATAAAGCCAGATGGAATGCGCATTGGCTGGACTTTGCAGTCGCTCTCAGCTTGCCACATGTTTCACCATGGAAGCTTTTAAATTATATTGTTCAGTCGTTTGTCCCCTTAGCTGAATGCTCCCTGCCTTGCATTTTCTGATTTCATGCAATTCTTCATGCTCTCACTAGGTGGGTCCCCACAACAGTGCACTGGCTAAGTGATTTGCTGAACAGCCTGACATTCTTGGGGAAATGGTTGCCCTGGACAGTTTTATTACCACTTTCTTAGGCAGAATTTCCCTGTGCCACATGTTTTTAGGTACAATTTAGCGATTTTGAAAACTATCTGAGCATTGGGAAGTTCTTTTAAAGGACCTGGATTTGGGGGATCCTCCTAAGAGTATTCCTTTTCTAACTTATTTCAATTGGGATTTAAAACAGCTGCACTTTTCTTATATCCAGTTATATAAAGTGATATCAAGCTTTGCAGACCTTTTACCTTTTGAAAGAGGATGCAAAACTAGTTGGTCACAAATCACATATGTTCCTCCTTTCCAAAATCACAGGTTAACCAGCATATCTTTAATGTTTTTTTCTTTTTTTTTTTTTTTTGACTTTTCATGCTGGTCAAAACCAAAACACACTTTTTTTTTTTTTTTCCATGTGCAATATGTCTCTACTAACATCAAAAGAAACAGGAAAAAAAAAATAGCTAGAATCTTCAGAACCTTTCTTTCTAAGCACAAATACTTCAGATGAGTCTGTACTTAAATTGAAAAGGCCAGTCCATTAAACCTGACCAAACCACAAAACTTCTGATGTAGTATTCCTTGTCCCGTGAAGAAGATGAAGGAGGCAATGCCAGGTTAGCCGTGTTTCTGAGTGTCCTGTCAGAAAGTCAATCTCACACAGGGGTTAGTAGCATGAGAGTCAGAGATGCCTACAGCTTGAGCCCTTTGCGATGCCACCACCAAGAGTCTGGATAGGATCCCTGCCTGGGCAGCACCCATTTCAATCAGAATCACAGAATCCTTAAGGTTGGAAGGCACCTCTAGAGATCATCTAGTCCAGCCCCCTGCTCACGCAGGGTCACCCAGAGCACGGGGCACAGGGCTGCGTCCAAGCAGCTTTGGAGACCTCCAGCGGAGGAGGCTCCACAACCTCTCCGGGCAGCCTGTTCCAGTGCTCTGTCACCCTCACTGTCAAGAAATTTTTCCTTAAGTTCCTGTGGAACTTCTGATGCTTCAGTTTGTGGCTGTTTCCTCTAGTCCTATCGCTGGTCTCCACTGAAAAGAGGCCGGCCCATCTTCCTCACTGCCTCCCTTGAGGTGTTTATAGACACTGATCAGATCCGCCCCCAGCCTTCTCTTCTCCAGACTCAACAGGCCCAGCTCTCTCAGCTTTTCCTCACAGAAGTTCCGGGCCCCTGATGATCCTCATAGCCCTGCATTTGTCCCATGAACCTTGGAGAAAGCTACAAATGAGGATCTGAGCAGCTAATCACTGATAATTTTTGGTTAGAACTATACGGTCTTTAAAAGTCCTGGTGCTCTGGAGAAAGGAGACGTTGCTTCTTTACAGACTGAGTTGTGGTTTCATCCTCCTGAGTAAGAGGATTCCTCAGCCTGCACAAAGCTCCACGCTGCCATGTCCAGGCAGTTTATGGCATTCAACCTCAACCTTGTACACTTAAAACTGGCCCTATAGTGTTGTCTGATACATTGATTTAATCTTAGCCTAATAACAGCCACCTGAGGGGACTTGTCAGTTATCTTTTTAATGGCTGCAAGTAGAAAAATGAAATTAAAGCGGCCTACCTTGTGTATTTCAATTATTGTGAGGTTTAGTTTTGTTTTTGCTTCTTCCCTCTCTTACCCAGGCTAATTAAGTTAATCTATTTCATCTGCTTATTTGACATGGAACTCACATGGCTGTCTAATTTAAAATGCAAGTTTTGATGGAATTGGAGATTATGTTTAATATAAACATTTAGAGGTCAGAAAAAGGTTTTGAAAACTTTTGCAATATATGTCGTGAAGTTAAGCTGAAACCTGTTCGTTTTCCTCCTTAGTAATCAATCTGCATTAAGTAAAACCGGTTTTAGTTAATGAAAGTACTTAAAGCTCAGATAATCTTGCTTAGTCAAATAATTTCTTAGTACAAGGCAAGACAAAAGCTGACACAATTCCTAGAGTTATGGTAGTCCTTCATGTCAGAACTCGGGCTCAAAATGGATCCTCAGCAGTAGCTATAATGTCTGATTTCCTGCTTTTAACAAGTATGTAAAGGGAATTTTCTGTTTAGCCTAAACCATTTTTAATGATCTTCTTGTCTCCATGTGAGGAAGACTATATATTTGTCTATATTCTTTTATTTTAAAATAATATTTTAAATTCTTTTAGTTTATTTATGGATCTACCTGGTGATGATCAGCTCCAGTAATTCTCTCTTCTTTATCTCCTTTATCTCTCTTCTTCAGCTCTGGACCAACTCTCCATTTAAGGTTGAGTGCAAATGCTCTAAGAATCCAGGGCAATGAAGAAGAGTGAAGAATTCCCATGAAACCTGTGCTCACATTTGCAAGTTCTTTTGGATCTGAGCTTGGAGACTTGATCTACGGGGAACCTCCTGGTTGGAGTCACCATTCTGCTTCCCTGGGAAATTACAGTATAGTGGGAATGTTCATCATTTCTACTTCCAGAGTTTCAAACCACAAGGACAGACATCCTATATGAGGTTGGTCTGCTCACACTTGCCTGGCACCATCATTTCCTCTGGGAAAATGGCAAGAGCAAATAGGAACTTGCCTGGCTGCACGCAGGCGTGACCCTCCTGAGAACATATAATTTGGCACCATGTGCGAGTGAAGTTCAAACATCCTCCAGCTATGAGTTGTTGACAACATCTCTCAGAATAGACGTACGAACTAAAGCAGTTTTGGTGTTCTTCTAGCCCAGCGTTACCTTCAGAAATGGTGACTGTTCCCAAGTGACTCAGTCACCCCCGCTGGGGGAATGTGCTCGCAGCAGAGAAGTAGCCACGTCACCTTTGCAGCTCTGTAGGCAGGGGATAACAGAACTTGCCAACTTCATCAGGATCCTGAGAAATGCCAAACACCCCTAAACTTTTGTGTGCATGTTGCCTGCTTGTGTATCACTGCCCCGCAGCGGCTCTGTTTACAAAAGGTAAAATACTCACAGTAAAAGCAAAAAATAAAACATCTGATATTTCAAACAACCTGAATATTTACTTTACAATTTATTAGCTGTGGAAAAAGGCACATTGCATTCCAACTAATTCCATTTTACACTTAGGATTTTGAAGGAGAGTGGCAGAGCTGGTGGTGTTGTCCCTATATTACTGTTGATCGACCTGTCCCCCCTTGCTAGGAGCTTGGATAGAAGTAAAATTCATATCACTAATGACATAAATGACGAATTCAGAGGGAGATAAATACAAGACTTCCAAGGCCTCTCCGGACTGAGAGTCAGCAGGAGAACTTTGGCTGCAGCACAGAACATTTGAGAGCTGTTAATAAAGAGGATTAGGGTGGTCGGGATCCTCCAGGCCTGGCAGGGTTTAGCGAATGCCTGTGAGTGCAGCGTTCAGGCAGACGCCAAGGCAGAGCTCCACTGTAGCCTGGAATCCCTACAGAGGGAAAAGGGAAAGCCATCCAGGATCCTGTTACTCATCCGACTGCAAAGGGCCCTCTTTTCAGCACTACCCTCAGGGCTTTACCTGCTCTCTCCAAACAGGAGTTTGGAGAGTCTACCCTTCCCGCCCTGCAATCACTCACACATAAACAACCCCTAAATAGTTTTCTGCCTGTTCTGCCAGTTTCAGCTCTTCTTGCTTATTCAGTGCGGGCTCTCCTGCCAAAACAACAGGCTGAGCCCGTGTGGGTTGTGGCTGGGGGCAGCGGGCTGCGCGTTTCCTTTGTTTTTCCCTTGTCTGTTTGGCCTTTCCTTGGGTGGAAGCCAAGATAGGATGGATCATGGCTGGTCCCATCACGATGCAGAAGGAACAGACATCCCTTTTCCAGCAATGACAGCTTTATGGAGCTTCCCTGTCTCAGCCAAAATCTTGATGCTATCATCAGACATGCCTGTCTTCCCAGTCCCTGCAGGTGACTGCAGCTGGCAGGCAATCTTTGACAGTCTGTATGTTATCTCTGCTGGACCAAGCCTTTAAAAAAATGGAATAGGAAGATCTGGGAAACAGATACACTGTTTCAAGGCATAAATAACGTAGTGCTGAGTGCTGCAGAGAACCTTTATTTAATTTAGTTTACTTGTGATCATCTGGCCTGGCTTCTAACCAGGATTTCTGGAGACGTATGTTCCATTTCTTCTTAGAGCACCCATAGTCATATACAAGTCACTTCTCACTCCATTCCTCACACAGGCAATGGGGATGATGAAGTATCCCGACATACAGGGAAGGGAGATAGGAGTAACAGAAAGCAAGTGTATATTGGTTTGTGAGATTGCCCAGTTTTCTGATAATAGGGATCCCTGTAGCTAGAACACAAGACTGAGGTGTCAACAGTAGCTGCTGCTTGCAGATCAGAAATATGAAGAGTGATACAGTGTCATCATGTCATGTAACAGTGAAATCCATCCTTGTAAAAAGGCCATTGTAGCCAGGCAAAGTAAAAATTGTTTATGCTCTTGGAGTTGAAGTACAGCTTTAGTGTGGGGCACTCTATCTGACAATGTCTCCGTGATGGTTTTAAGTAGTCTGATTCTTCAGTTTATGTACTGACACTGTGATGATCACTCAGAGCTGCTTTTTCTGCCACAGTGCGTTTTTGGTAATGATCAGCTTCACATTTTTAATCTGCACATATTGACCATGGACTATTTCTTTGCTTCCAACAAATCAAAAGTCTTTAGCTAAATAATATATATCAAAAAAAAAAAAAACAAAAACAAAAAAAAACCCACATTCCTGTTCACCTTTTTTTTTTTTCTTTATGTTTCCCCACCCTTTTCTTGTTTTACAGAAGGGCAATTGCAGCTACCTGGCCTTTTCTGGAATGTGGTCAGGGAGGTGCCTGCATTTTGCTGGGTAAGGAGGAGCGCCGGATTCTCCCAGGGACAGCAGCATCCTGCTGCCCGCGGCGCTCCTCAGTCCGGGCACTGCGAGTCCCCCGACAGCTCTGGATCAGGGAGTGTAAAGAAGCATTTGACAACTTGACCTATGGCATTTTTAGGACGTCTGCTCTCTTCCCAGAAGTCTGGGAGCCTCTGGATTCTTTGGCGCCTGGTTGCGCCAGGGAGATAGATTAACTGAAGGACTGTTACTGTTTTGTCTTGAGTGAGGCCTTCTGGGCAGCCAGCTGCTTTATTTTGTATATTGTGTAAAAGGTTGCTTTAAAGCTGTGTGTTCTGGGTATGAGGAGCTGGAAGAAAGAAGTTAAGCTGGGAGATGTTGTCTTTCCTTACACAGAAGTCTTTACTATCCAGAATTGTTGGTAAAAGCAGACAGAAGGAAGATGCTCCCTAGGAGTAATGGTACTATCACGGCCCAGTCATTTGAAGTGCAAGCCAGAAGGGTCCACTCTGATGGATGCAAAATCCTGCTGTGGTAACTGGACTGGAATTGGTATTTTTTGAGAGCATGGTGAACCCCATTGTCTTTAGTGGGTTTTGCCATAGGCAAATGTTCACCTGGAAATAAATGCACACCTGATTGCAGACATTAGGCCATTTTACATGCTGTACAGGAGAGAGCCTGAACAAAAGCAGGACAGACTGTAAGGTCTTCCTCAGCAATGCTCAGCACATCCTTCTGTAGTGCAGCGCCCTTGTAGCTCATTTCTTGCTGCCTTTCACCTATAGAAACCTGAAAAATCATTGTGTGCTGTCTGCAACATATCCCTTCCTATGAAAGCCAACTCAGAATAGAAGCAAGAGACAATTTGCTCTTCTGGCTGCATCTTCAACATTTTTGCCTGATTCTCTTAGATTCCAAGAGAATGTTTCATAAACATGTAGCATATTGTGGTGTATGCTATAGCATTCCTGTGTTAAACTTTCTGTCATTCCTGGGATCTGTGAAACAGGGAAGCCTCAGAAGTCCTGAGCTACAAAAGAGAAAACAGTGGCGCAGAACTTACCCCATAAGATTTCTCCTAGGCCACATTTGCGCGTGGGAAGAGTTTGATGCTTTCTTTGTCCTTGCCTCAGACTGCTCAGCCTGGTGAGGGTGAGCAAACCATGCGGGAGTGGGACCATGCTGGAACACCGGGCAAAATCACAGAATCACAGAATGACTGAGGTTGGAAGGGACCTCTAGAGATCATCTACTCCAACCTTCCTGCTCCAGCAGGGACACCCGGAGCACAGGGCACAGGGCAGCATCCAGGTGGGTTTGGAGACCTCCAGAGAAGGAGACTCCACAACAGGGCAGCCTGTTCCAGGGCTCTGTCAACCTCACTGTCAAGAAGTTCTTCCTCACATGGAGATGGAACTGCCTGTGTTTCAGCTTGTACCCATCACCCCTTGTTCTATCACTGGCCACCACCGAAATAAAATGATATAAACTGAATTGCTGTAGCCCTCACTTGCTTCCACCAGGTCTGTGGATACACAGTTCTCTCAAAAAACACATCCTGATCCATCAGCAACCTGCTGACAGCTCACGAGAAGACTCCCTATGGGCCTCTGTGTTACTTGACTGGTTTGTTTTCTCCCTGACTGGATGGTAGGGAGGAAATACGGCTTAGTAACAGGTATAACACCCAGTCTGGGGTGCTAAAAAAAGCTTTTGTGTGTAAGTTATAACCTCCCTTTGCTCTCTTATGCAAACAGTAATGAATAGAAAATATAATTGATAAGCATATTAGTAAGTTAATGATCAACCTACTTAACAATGTTGGCCTTCAGTTTGCTATTAGGAGGCATTTGAGCTAATAGACAGGTCTCAGGATTTGTGTTCCACATTCCATGCGGGTCTGTCTCTTTACTGATCAAATTCTTGTTTGTTTGTTTTTTTCCACAAATGTTAAGAGCTAGAAACTTTGCTCTTTAATTGCAGGTAAGCATGTCTTGTGTGACAAGGTTAAAGTCCATGCTGCTAAAAGAAACTGAGGTATCTCAGGTTTCTCTAGGTTTTCAGGTTTGTATAGAGATATTTCTGTTGCAACCGAATGAAAAACAAGCTCATAAAAAATTTAGACACGATCCCAAACTGCAGTTGAACAAGCTTTCAACCCTAAAGACAGCACAAATAGAAGAATATTTGGTGTATTCAGGCCTCTGTCCTAAATTTGCCCAGATGGTTGCAGAATGGTTTTGGTTCTGCTGTCAGTTTTCTAGATCTAGACTCACCTGCATCTCATGAAGCTTTTTCATGATACAGTATAACACGGGCAATTCACACCAGTATAATTTAAGGTGTGATTTAAATTGTCAGTTTAGCTGGGGTTGTAATGGTGACCCTAAATCTCCAGCTCCTCCATGACTTGACTGTCTTCCAAGGAGACGGTGAGTTAAGCTTGCTAGGTAAATGATTCTTCACATCCCAGCAACTTGTGTTGGCTGCCTCTAACTCAGGTTTTCCTGGTCAGTAGATCCCCCTCGTGACCTGTGGGAGTCCCACAAGTGGTGTAATGGATTCATTATGCTGAGAGAAGTGCTGTATTTCATATGTCAGATGTGTCAGAATCTGCTTGCTCACTAGGTGAGGCTGAAGAGTGAAGCAAAAGGTTTTACCTAAGAACATAAAACTTTAAGTTTCCAGAGAAAGTTGAAAAGGATCCAACGGGATGTGTCATGAAGATTATGTCTAGCAATAAAGACCCTTCATAGCTACTCCAATATCTCATCTAGATCCTATTACTGATGTGACTGATTAGTCTCTGCAGTCTCTATGAAAACTGGTAAATCTAGAAAAATTTAGAGCTACATTTTTAATGTTTTTATTGATAAGGATAAGGATATTGTTATTTTATTGTTCTCGGAGTTGTCTGGAACACCTATACTAGATAAAAGCCAAAAGTCTTGTTGCCTACCCTGTGTATTGCTTCTTATTTCTTGCAATAGGACACTCAACATTATACGTTAATTAAGATTGGGCCGTTTCTGTACACTACTCTCTTTA